AAAGAGGCTTACGTTACAGCAAAATAACAAACAGAATTTTCATTAGCGTTTGATTTGCATCCGATTCGTAGACGACGCAATTTCATCAAAGAAACTTCAAAATAAATTTACTTTCTCGTGCCAAATCTCGTTCTTTAAAGTGAATAAAAATATTTCAAATATATTTTTAAACAGAAATTTTTCTATAGTTTTAAATAAAAAATATATTAGACGTCATTTTTCAAACGTGATAAATTTTACTCGTAAATTTATTGTGTTAACGAAACATACATTTTGTCCTTTGTTTGTAATTACGAAAAGATCTGTTCTGTATATATTAATTTCATTAAATAATTTTCATATATAACGAGAAATTTGATTCTGTCTATATTCATATTTAAATCTTCATATTAAATAAGTCACGTAATTCTTACCGAGGTAGATGAGAATTCATGATAAAAGTTAAACAAACGTATGAGTGTTAAGTAACCGACTTGAAATGCGTACTATATTTGTTCCTTAATAATATCCACCGTAAACGTAACTGACTGTAAACGTTCGTTTGTGCCGGCTCTCTACTGTTTTCATAAAGTAATAGTAAATTCCGGTCTGCGTAATTCAATGTGAACACTTCCCCCCGATTGAAATTCAAACGCATTCAAAGCCCGACGCCAAAAGTTACGAGGAATAACGACTAGATTCTTGAGGACACGTCGCCTCGTCTTTAAGATCGCTCGAGGAATGTGTCAAAACGGGCATCATGCGCGACTAGACGTGAAGGCGCATTCTCGACGTGAGTGCGCCATCGCATCTCGGAAAGTTCCACCCTTGTGATAAGTACGAAGAATTCAGGCTCGCTTGCGCTGCTGATTCAGAATGACTTTATTAATTCGTGAAAAACGACGAAAGTTGATTAATGCTAAATCTTCGTCGGATCTCGTGTCAAACTTGCGCGTCCTCGTTAACACACCACGCGAAATCGCATAAATTACTTCTCTCGCTTCCGAAAGAGAGAGAGAGAGAGAGAGAGAGAGAGAGAGAGAGAGAAGAAAGTATAATGTAGGAAAGTAGGAAGTAAATTAATAAACGCCCGTACTTAGATAGTCTGTTACTTCTATTACTAAGTTACAAGTATTAGGTTAATTTTATTTATTAATTTCATGTGCTATATATTTCAATGTATATTTTGTTGTGTATGTGTGTGTGTGTGTGTGTGTGCGTGTGTGTGTGTGTGTGTGTGTGTGTGTGTGTGTGTGTATTGTGATTTTAAAATTTTTTTGGAGGCAGATAAATATACAAATAGAATTTCTTCCATAAATTCCATCTAAGTCTAAATTTTAATACGAATTTTAACACGATACTTCAATTTAATGTCGAATTGGTAAGTAAAAACGCGTTAACAAAACAACTGTTTTGATTTAAAGAAAATTATTTAAAAATGCACAACATAAATATTTACGATAATCCATATAATTGTTGAATTATAAACCGTATGAATTATAATTTAATTAAAAATCAATCAAAAGCTAAAATCGTGTTATCGAATAATTTTAATTAAATAACAATTAAAATTAATATCATTTTACGATATAGCGACTAAACGATTAAGTACCAGTATAAAAGCTTTTAATTAAATCCGATGATTGTCAAAGACATGACAAATTTCCATTTGAAATTCTACTAGATTCTGTTAAATTATTTCACGATATGCCAATAAATCTTCACGATTTTTTTTCAAGCGCATAAGATATAATATTTTTAGTACACGATATAAAAGTACTTAACATACGTATAATATTAGAAATTTCAATTTACAAACGGAGAAAAATAGCACACATGAAAACACTTTTGATTGCCAAAGTAAGTTTCTCCATATCCTCTCTTCTGACATCGAATTAGTCTTGAAATGAAGAGGAAAATGTTCACGTAGGACGGCAAAATCACTTTTTACGGCAAACTTCTCCCGGGAAATCTGACAAAGGCATGATTGTAATTTATCATTCCTTTTGTCCCTCATCCCGAACTATATTTCCTCGCACATACAGAGTATCTCAGTTTTATCGTGCGCTTCACATATGTACGAACAATATGAAACGAATTTTTTCTCATGCGAAAATTCAAGAGAGACCAATTTTTCAGATCTTTAAATATGTGCATAACTAAGATTCGTCTCAGATTAAAACTTTGGAGGCAAAACTTTCTTAAACGTTTGCTTAAATAAAAAATAATTAAGACTACATTTTTCACAAAAGGTGAATTAAAATTTTCTTATTTATTCTCAGGTTCTCGATATTTCCTTGATAATTCCTGAAGATTTCTAGATGTAAAATGTTAATTCAATAATTACTCCATTAAAATTTTTGTTAAGAAATAAAAGTGGCGCAAAATCTCGGATACCCTATATACCTCACGAGTAAAAATGCAATTTAGTTATCGAGGCCAAATTTGATTATCGTCGTAGCGGGATAAAATCCCAGAAGAGACTAGCCGGCCACGAGACGTACGAGACGTGCTCGTAAATCAAAAAGGATGACCGCGTGTCTTAAGTCAATCAGTATTTCGTAAATGAATTATAGTATTGTTGTTCGCACCATCAGCCATGTGCGTTTTCGTTTCGTGAGCTTTCGTGATCTTAAGCCTCTTTCGGCGCCGTCCCCAATTTCGCTTCTTCGTTTGTCGCATCACGAATTAAGACAAATCTAATCTATATTGGAAAGGGTTTCACCTGTCATCAACAATCTCTGTCTGAGAACGATGTCTTCTTAAATGATTAAACAAACTGAAAGTCATGCGCTAAGCAAGTTAGGATGTTAAGAGTAGCTCAAGGTAAACTCCGCGCGAAGAGATAAATGAGATGAACGAGATAACTAAAGCGCGTGAAATGCGCAAGTAGAATTAATTCTAAAATTTGATCTAGAACGCGCGCGCGAATATATTCACAGAGAAGACAGAGATATGAAATGCAACATTTGCAAATAATTAAAAGCATCATTATTTAACACATAAATAAAAGCATCGAAACAGAAGTTTGACATAAAATTATTGCAGATTATCCTTTAATTTCAAAATGCCGCTCGTTTATAAAGAGAAAGCAAATAATAGATAGCAAAGATAGGCTTTCATGAGTGGACTTAAAGAAATCTGATAAAATAGAAGGACATTGTTGATGGCTCGGAAGGCCGAAAGGCTGAAAAATCATCCAGCCGGATCAAAGGTATGCAAATTATAGTGACGATCGCTATGAAACACGGCTGCCAGCGATTGACTTTTATATGAGTTTAACATCGTTTGGAAAGAATAGGGAAGAAGGGTGCATAAACGATACAAAGAGCAACACGTAAATTAAATTCTGCATTTTGAGAAAGAGAGAATTCCAAAATATGCTGTGGATTTAATTTCTGAATTGGAATCAAAGGAATAATCGAAATAATAGATGGACCATTCCGCAATATGTAAATTACAAATTTAAAGTAATTACAAATATGTTGATTATTAATTTATTATTTTAAATTTACATGTATAACTATTCTTAATTAATTCATTTTATTTACAAAGGACGTTGAAAGAAAAAAAAAAGATTCTTTTTGTACATACGTTTTTTTATCATTACTGGGAGAGAAAGAAAAATTAAAATATTATATTTCTATTATTATAGTTATTCTATTTATTAATAGATATTGATGTCATCAATGTTATAACTATAATAAATTAATTTTATCTCGAAGTGTTATCTGGATGTGTTTTTCTTCCTTTATAGAAATTATTAGTCAATGCTGGAAAAAAGTAAACAAGAATGTACCGGGAGTATAGCTTGATAAATTTTTTTATTGTTAGTTTAAAAAATCATCACATCATCAAAATTCTATTCGATCTTCGTTGTAAAATCATCATATGATACCGATTTTACTGAAAATTTCGCCATAAACGTTACGATTTCGCCAAGTTATGTATCTCTGTAAAAACAATATTTCCAATAAACTAGATTGATATATTATGTTTTTTATATATATATATATATATATATATATATATAGTCATTTCTGCTTTAATAATAATTTATTTTGCAAAAGGATGTAATATAAATATGCATATAAAATAGATCATTATCAAGACGGAAATGATGATTTATGCTACAGCGCGATTGAATGACTAAAACACTAAGATCGCACAACCTCGAAAGATGGCTTTTCGAGGATGGCGAGCTTCGAAGAGAAAGCTCGCGATTTATTTCTATGCGCGGTAGAGAAATCCCCATTTCTATGGGTTACGCGCCTATCTCATTTCAATCCGAATGTAAATCCACGTAATATGTGGGATAACGACAAGATCCCACAGATATTTATAAGGTTCAACTTGATCCCGTATATCACAAACTGTACATCGTATGTATGTACGTCGGCTACTGGCTGTCGAAACCATATCGAACCCGCGAAACGAATTTAAAACTTAATAAATTCCCGTCTTTTCGCGGAGGGCACCACATACAATAACAGCTCAAGAAGTAACCGAGTGGGAAATGGATCGATAAAAAAGAAAGAAAATTTCTATCTTACCGATTATCGCTCTAAATATTTACGATAGATAGATTTTAGATATAATATTCCGGAAATTATTAAATATACTACGGGACACAAAAGAAAAAAATAAAAAATTTGTTTTTTTCCATACGTGTTGTTTTTTGATATATAAATATTTTCGAAAAAATTATTTTCTTATTGTCAGAAAAATTAATTCCTGGCTTTTACGTTTTGTGCGTAATTGTTTCAGCTTAAAATATCGCTGTTATGTTATGATATGATAAGTAAATAATTATGAATAGCTGCATATATGCAGCTAAATATGAATGTATTATCACGAATGACAATCGGACGAGCATAATCGCATGAGAGGAAACAGGCTTAAATGTTTACCATATAGTTCGTGCCTCGCTATCTATACATACGTGGCAAACAGAGTGTAAATACGTATGAAAGGAATTATAACGCACTTGAAGGAAAATGTTCAAGAAAAAGAAACGTATTGACGTACGTGGCGTATTATTTTTATTCATATATTGTGTGCGCGGAATAAGCATGTACAAATTGATATTTTTTTTGTTCTCATAATTCTGTGTTGCGTTGAGTAATGCATAAGGGACAAAAATTGCAATTTCATTCACGTGATTATCAGAAATTTTTGTTTATTTCAATTCAAGAGCTATCTCGATATTGTCAGAACAGTGCACATATAAACACTGTTATTACTATTATTATTAATATCGGATAATATGGATATATAAATGTGAATTTAAAACACACTTTTTTGTCAAATATTGTATCGCAAAGTCTTTTCATAACGCAAGAATTAAAGAAAACATTTTAGCCTTTGAAGCTTTAAAAAAAACAAGTTGCACGGTGAAAATTATCACGTCATATTATCGTCGTCATTATCGCTACTAACTTATATTAAATATATAAAAATGTTATGTTTTTTGTATATATATATATATATATACATGATACTATTTTTAGTCTTTTTATTTTTAAATATTACGCTCAGTGCACACAACGGCCAACGATTTCACAGTGATGGCCAACCTCGATTTAATCTCGAACCTTGCTCTTTATCCTGAAACAATAAGAAGTATGTATAGTATATAACGCGTATGACGTATATTTTATTATATATACATGCAATTGTTTCGTCATACGATATCGATCTACCATTAATGCTTCGAGTCAACAATCAAAACCTTAAGTCTAATCTGTTTTGACCGAAGCCAATTCTCCTAGCGACGTTTCAAGATAACATAACCCGAGTGCAGAGAGAGAATAAGCAAGCAATAAAGAAAAACATAGAGGAAATCGGATCATATCTAGCGTATGTTTCTACATTTTTCATTCGAAATTTTTCTTTGAAAACATTAAAAAAACTGATTCATATGCTTACTCACTCCCCCCTTCCCCTGACTAAATTTGTCGTGGGAGGGGAAGCTGAACGAAAGCGGTGGCGGTGGCGACGATTCTAAATTTGACGATCATCCGAACGACAGCTGTTGCGTCGACGCTGCGCACGGCGATCAGCTGTTGCAACGTGCAATGTGCGCAGGCGCGGTCTAGGGACTTTCGCGGGGGCGTGGACGCGCGACAATTCGAAGGGGTTCCGCGTTGCGTGAAATTTTGCGTTCAAAAGGCCGACCGAGTTCTCGAAGTTGCTCGCGTTTGGACTCTGAATGAAGACATTGATGCGGACGCGCGAATTCGTCGTAGCGAAACGTGGTCGCAATGTTGACGGCCACGTGACATTTCATTGAAAAGCCCATCGGCAAAGATCACGGAATCTCGGCGGCGATCGTGAATATGGATTACATTCTCGTTACGCGAATTTCGTTTCCATATGCTGACGAGGAAGCGAGACTAGCGTAGAATCACGAGCGTAGGGCGTAAGCCGGAGAGGAGCGGAAAGAGAGACAGGGATTGAGATGGGAAGAAAGAGACACGGGAAGAGAGACAAAGAGCAGGGCGAGCGAGCGGACGTCACGCTGTATCCTACGAGAATTTTCTCTCACGTGGGCTGCGTGCGGCTCGTGTGTCAAGCGTGCGCGTCGGTGGGAGTGAGACGCACGGTGGAGGGGGACGAAGCTCGTGGCGGGCGCGAGAAGGACGGAGGAGCCGAGCGGCCGCGGGCGAGCGAGAGGGAGAGCGTGCGAATGAGCGAGCGAGCGAGCGAGTCGGGCGGCGCGGAACGCCAGTGCAGAACGAGGCTTTATCTCGTCGTGTCTCGTCGTGTCTGTATCATGCGCTGCTGAGTGAATTGTCAAGTGAAATCAGAAATGGCTGCCAACGGCGAGCAACAGCGTAAGGTGAGTGAGCGTTGCGGGGACGGCACGCGGAATCCTTTTTGCCGGACGGAAACGTCGGGGCCGAGGTATCGCGGCGGCTCGGGTCGCGTTGATCCCGCGGGACGAAACGTGCGTGTGCGGCGCGTCGCTTTTGTGTCAAAAGTCACGGTTCGATCCCCCCGCCGACGTTTCAAGACGAGGTTCAAGACGTCGCGTCGCGTCGTCATGCCGCAACACCGACACGCGGAACGCGCGACGAAAGCGGCGAAAGGATGGGGACGAGAACGGAAACGACGTTACCGTGATTCGTCACGTCGACGAGGAACGGCGCAGCGATCCCCGTCGTGGGGTAACGCGAGGCACGGATAACGTCCCTCCTCCCCCCCTCCCCCCGCGCGCGTCGCATTCCCGTATAATCGCACGTCTTCATTCAAAGATCGCGCAGTTGGTCGCGCCGTATTTACATCGTCAGCCGAGCAGCTGTCAGTGTGCGACGTACGGTGGGACATCGCGACTGCATCGAAGATGCGCGACGAGAACCGCAACGAGGATCGCGACGACGACGACGACGACGACGATGACGACGACGTGAGTGCCAGTCTCGTCGGCTCCCCGCATATAACAAAAGAGATTCCCGAGAGTCGTACTGCGTTGTTGTTTTCTTATCCGTTTTCGCTTTCGCGGGGGGGAGGGGGAGAAACCCTGTGTGAACCTTCGCTTGCTGACGCTTGCAATCGAAGACTGTCGCAGCGTCAACAACACTACAATAGCCATTCAACTCGAGTCGCATTCGACGTAATGACAGCACGGGCGCCGTTCGAATTCTCGTAGAACGGGTTCCGTCCGTCTCCGTCTCCTGCGTCTTCTTTCTTTCCGCTTCTTCGCCCCGCGGGAATTCCTCGTGGACGCTCGGGCGAGAAATCTGGCACAAAAGAGACGAGCTTTTCCGGGGCGATTGCCACACGCGATTTTATTCGGCGCGAGGACAAGCATATGCGACGAGAAACGTCGGGAGATCTGTGATCGTCGATATCTAGACGAGAAAACACCGGGTTTCTTGCCCAGAGAAATCGTGCGAGGGCTGCAATTCACTTTCTGCCGTGCCCGGATTATGCGGAAGTCCCGTTTGATCCGTCCGGGGAAGCCTCGCCTCGTTCCGTCGATAAATGCCTCTTTTTTGTTTTTTTGTTTTTTTTTTTTTTTTTTTTTTCCCTTGTTCTTCGGTAATTGCGGCCGCGAACGTACGATCGCCGCCGTGTCTCGAGTTCGAGCATTAATTGCCGTACGCTACATCATCGCGTACGGAACGGCTTCGTGCGCCTCCCTCCGTCACGAAAACGTCGTGTGTCATCGCGGATAAGCGCGACGGCGCAAGGCACGATTTGCGTGAGAGAGCTCGCAATCGCGAGCGAGATGCACGCGAATTTATCGTCGGTTCTCTCTTCCCGACGATCGCGCGAACGCGATAAATTGGCAGACGGAGGATCGTCCGATGCCGCGTTTTCCTCGCGCTCTCCCGCGGCCGTTGAGACATATGTTGCAATTGTGCAAACATGATCCATTTTGTGTGCACACAGGACTAGCTTTTCCTGCGCCGCTCAGCGCGGCGAACTTTCTCGTTTATTTTCAATCGCGATCGGAGGATTGGGTTCTGGTTCTCCGGATCCACAATGTTTCCTTTCTTTTTTTCCCCCCTTCGTCGCCGAGTCGGTTAAGCTGAATCGGTTAGATGTGGATCAATGTCGTGCGTAAAAGTTTAAGCAAGATACTGGGAGCAGGCTGTGTGTCACTTTAAGGCCGTGTCACTTTAAGGCTTCACCAACACAGCAACATGGCTACTTATGGCTGTGATGCAAAACTTGATGATACACATCATAGATATTTCCTAATACAGGGGAGTGGAAATGGCGCATTTTTGTTGTTTATCCAGACTTGTCAAACGTGTTGCCTCGAGTGTATTCTCGTTTGATCGTTTGATCGCAAATGATGGATTAGAGTTATTAAAGGTTGTCAACAAAGATGGTCAACACAGATTTAGAATCTATTTATATAATACAAATATTTCATTGCGAGTAGATGCAAATGGAAATAAACTAAAGTTATATAAATTCAAATCTCCGGTTTCAGAATTTTTCTTGTTAAAAATAAACTATATTTATTTTTCAGTGATCTTTACTCTTTCTTTCCTTTTCCCTTTTCTCCCTTTCTTTCTCTCATTTTCTTTCTGAATAAAATATATAATTATATAAAAGGAAGTAACTTTTTATTTGAAAAATAATTTATTATAATCAAATATTTTTCTTACATTTATTATAATATCTATTTGGACAAGAATTTTATGTGTGTTATGAACCACACCCATTTCAAAATATATATTATATATTTATATATATTATATATATTATATATTATATATTTTATATATATATATATATATCTCGTGTTATGTATTTGTAATAATATATAACGCACTATGATTTAGCTATTATATAGATTATATATGTTTTATATACTTGTTACATAACATGACAAATTATTGTGTGTAAATAAATAGGAATCACGTGAAACTCGTGAACCAGCCCATCATGCAAGACGTCCCATGAACGCATTTCTGATTTTTTGTAAGAGGCATCGTGGCTCAGTGCGATCTGGCTTTCCACATTTGGAGAATAGAGCAGTCACCAGAGTTTTGGGTGAATGGTGGGCAACCCTTCATCCTGATCAGAAGCGTTCTTACACGAATCTTGCACAGGAAGTAAGAATAATTTATACAATTAACAAGTCGATTACTTTACAGATTAATATAAATATAGTTGTACTATCAAGAATAAATATAGTTGTATTATCAAGAATAAATGAATAAGTTATCTTATCTAACTACTATTAAATCTATAGTGATAGAACATACATACATTGATATGTAATATATTTATTCTTTTTAGTACAAGGATGCATTTCTTAATGCAAATCCAGACTTCAAGTGGTACAAATTACCAGCACCTCCACTGCGTACTTTGAATACTAGGCCTACTAACAAGAAGCAAGAGTCAAGTAGCGGTGCGCAATCCACGGATAGTGTCAAATCTGAATACGAGTCTTCCGATTGTACAAAGATAGATAGACGGGATGGACAATCAATTCAACCAGGCAAATTAGCAGATGAATCACAGATTGGTGGACTCAGTTCTCTTTTTACTCCTCAAAAGACAGAGTCGTCTGAGGAACAAGTCATAATTAATGGTATCACAGAAAATGATGTTCCGAAACCACCTAAAAAAAGATATACAGAATCACCTTTTCAAGGTGATCAAAAAAAAGATTGCAAGGTAGATTTGTTTGGCGATAAGAAAAAGAAAAGAGCTGAGTCAAACAACAACGAACAGCATGAAACGGTAAGAATCAATTTGCTTATGAAATTATAGATTTATGAAATATTTCCAATTGCATGATGTAATATTATTTGTTGATCACTCTATATACGGTATACAATTTAAAAAATTTTAGATTATAGAGGATGAAAAACATACAATAAACTCTTTTATGACAACACATATGCAGCCAGAAGAAAATAATTTCCGTAGTGAAAGAACATGTAAAGGTTTACGTTATCAGAAATTTCTTGCTGAGCAGAATATCGGTCCCTCAGGTCAACAAGGTAAACGAAGACGAACAGCTGGAAATGGGTATGTTATATTAAGATTTATCTTAACATATTTTAAAACATCTAATTTTAGTTATATAAGCTGTATAAAAAAATATTTTATTTCTTATTATTCTAGACCTGATGAACGTTCAAATGAAAGAAGAAACTCGATTTCTTCAAATGTTAGTGAAAAAACAGATTCCTTAAGCAGCGAAGGAGGAAATAGTTCTCGTGGAGATTTGGAACATCTTGTAGAGAGGTATCATATTTATTTGTAGTTTTTAAATATTTTTTCATGATATATGGTGATTTTTTTATATATGAAAATAATTTGAAAATATATTCAGCGCTGAAGGAAAAATGGAAGCTTCTAAACCTGAAGATACAGAAACTGAAGGAGCCGAAGATCAAGTGGATTATGGACCATGGACAACACGTAAAAGATTTCGAGCTGAGTATGTTCTTTCTTAATTATTAGAAATCATTAAAAATTATAAACTATTTCTAAATAAATTTTATATATAGAAATATGTACATAAAATATCTATGATACAATATAATATATATATATATATATATATATATATATATTGTATCATAGATATTTTTATAGAGATTTCAATTTGGAAAAGAAGATCGAGGCATTACCATCTTTGAGTTTAGAAGAATTTCAAGAAAAGAAGAAACAACAACGCACGAAAAAAAAGAAAATATTGCAAAAATTCAATTCTTCAGTTAACAAAAAACATCAAAATAATTTATCTTCTGGTGGTCAAACAAGTGATCAAACTCAAAAAGTTAGTACAATAAATGAGAATTGCGAAGAATTAGAGAAAGCTCATCTCGTTGGAAGTCAAAAACGAAAAGCACGAAAACAAAGCATCACGCGAAATGCTGCGGCAATAAATTCCACCAAACATTCTGAGGATCAAGAACCAAATAAATGTAAGTAATAAATAATCTTAATAAATTAATTCAACAGATTAATAATAATAATTTTTATTTATTATTTATATATTGATGCTAATTTTATTTTCCTGATGATTGAAGAAACTATATAAGATATTTTTTCTCTAATTTAATTTTCGAGATCACAATAAGAAAAAACTCACATTTATCACAAATAAGAAAAAACTTAATTTTAAATATAATTTGTGTTTTATGATTGATATTTCAATTTATATGTATAATATAAGCTTTAATTGATATACATTGCACATTGATAGCTTGGTGTGCATCTCCAGATCTTGAAGCTCTAGCGTGTCTTGCAACGGTTGCCGCCAATAGAACAAAACTTACCAAAAATAACGCTTAATTGTGTAAAGTCGCACTATAAGAAACCAAAACTTTATTAAGTTTTCTCTATGCAGTTTCCTATCATCGGAACTATTAAAACATACTTTCTCAAGTGCTGTTATAAACGATACTGTTATTGTATCGGTAATATAACGATTATTGTTAATATCTTTATTGTTAATCTTTACTATTACAATATTAATATTACGACTGCTATATTAACCGTAGATTATTCCATTATTCAGTGTAAGGGATATGTTTTTTTTTTTTTTTATTTGGAATAATAGGTTTATTGAAAAGGAAGGTAAAGGATATCTTTTTTACGGTTTATTTTGTGAAGTCATTATCTAGTTATGGTTTGAAAAAGATATATTATTTTATTTATGTTTATCTTAGTATTATGTTTATCCTAATTGTGTGCTGTACATAAAACAATTATCTAGTATATGATGATTGATTATTTTAACGCAAATAATAATGATTTTATTATGTATTATTAAATTTATAACAATATTCTTAATTGTATATGTTTTCTCTTTTCTATATTCTTCATTAAAATCTTAATGAGAATTTTATAAATCATTCGTATTCCAACAATAAATCTGATAAAATAACAAAGCTGTGACATATATGAATATAATAATACGAAGATGGATTGAATTAAATGAGTAAAGGAACAGAAATGCAAGGCAAAAATGCAAGAATTTGTATATTATCCTATTTTTTTTTATAAAAATTTATATAGTCTTTTCTTTTTATGTAAAGTCGCATATGTGGATTGGCATGATTGTGTAATTCCATTAGAAAAGAACATTCGAAAAGAACTTATTTTTATTATTATTTTATTAATATAGGCGCGAAAATATATTTGCTTTACTATATTTTATTTTTTATTATATTAGCATTCAATGTGTGTACATAGGTATAGGTGCAGTATTATATATAGATATGAGACGTAAAATAACCTTTATGATATGACTTAACATCAAAAAGGATGTAATCAAAATATGAATATGTGTGCGACCATTGTTTATATGTTATACATGCATACACGTTAATAGACGTGTGCTTACATATGTAAGTTTAAATGTTTATAGATTTTCAA